AGGCATTGATGCGATTAATCGCGATAAAAAAAAAAAATCGATTGACAGCACTAATATATATATATATATATATATATATATATATATATATATATATTTATGACAGCTGAAGTCTCTTATCTAGCAGGATTAATATTCAGAGTTATTGCAGGGTATTAACATGAGTATTTCTATATATGGGTATGTATAAATATAGCTTTTGCACTGAGTATCAAATATAAAAAACAGGTTATTGTACAGGTTATTAAATAGTAATTGCACATTAGAGATTACACAAGTTATTGGCGTTGTGGTGTCACATTGTAGAGTCTGATGGCAGACCCTACAATGCGTCAACACACCAAAAAGAAGACGTAAATTAAGCTATTTAGAAAATATATAAAAATAGTAAATACATTTTCAATTTAAATGATACCTGCATAACATAGCTGCATTTTTGGTATGTTATACTCACAGAGCATCTTGATGACCTGTCTTCTGCGGCCATTTTCCCCAGTGACCCTTCTCCTGTTGTTGCTGGAGCATTTCTTCCCTAGGTTTTTCCTAGTACGCCTTCTTTCTCTACCTAAATGAACGCCCATAACTAGATAGAGCATGCTAATGATCATCATAGGAAAAAAGTAGAAACAAACAGTTGTGATTTGCATCACCAAGTTATAGATCCACAGGGGTTTGATCACAGCACATATGGCAGACTCCTCCATTCTCTCAGGCAAGTAGAAGATCCCATGAAGCGAGGTGTTAGGGATGGCACAGATCATCGACACCACCCACACAAAGGTGATGACACGTTTGGCATGCTGGTTGGTCGAAAGGTATCGTGTTTTAAGTGGATGCACCACAGCGATGTACCTCTCCACACTGAGCGCGGTGACATTAAGGATGGAGGCGAAGCACACTGTCTCGAAGAGGAAGGTTTTGAAATAGCAGCCGCCCTCACCAAAGGGGAATGGGTAATTCTCCCAAAGGTCATAAATCTCCAACGGCATGCCGAACATCAGAACGAGTAGATCTGAGACAGCCAGACTCACAAGGTAGAAGTTAGTGGGGTTTCGCATCTTCTTGTGCTTTGCTATCACTGCACAAGTGAGAAGATTTCCAGACAACCCTGTGAGGAAAATTAAAAGATAAACAGTTGTCACAGGGAGAAAAAAGGGGGATCTCTTGGGACCGAGGATTTCAAAAAGGTTGATATCAGTAAACTGCTCAAAAGTGTTGTTCCCTGATGCATTCATTGTCATACTGGTGTTGTAGAGGGTTGCAGGTAAAGTGGAACTCTGCATAGAAAGATCCATTGCAACCAGGAGGGCTGGAAAAAAATTATTGGAAGTGTCAACAGCTCCTGTTCTGGCGTCTGGACTGGTTCAACTTCAGGGGCCTGTGTTGAAAAGAAAAATGGAAGAAAAACAACATGGTTCTAATGATTAATAGCTTGAAAACATCATGTACAGTACCAGGGTCTGATATTTATTTTCTACTTTCATGGTGTTGTTTTGATGTTACTAAAAACCTTCATGCTAAATTATTCTGGGAAAGGAAAATTAGACATTCAAACATTGGCAGTGTAGATTCATGTGCAGATGTAACCAAACTTTGCATATTTGAGATTTTATGATAAAATGCATCTTTTTTATTTGTGTTGAATTATTAGGTTACAGAATCTGGATACAAAGAGTTGATAAGCTTTTCTCTGCTTTTCTAGTATACATTACATATTTTCAATGCTTAATTCTGACTTTTATATTCCCCTAGATGGCAACATGGATATGTAATACATATAAAACCCAATGTGTTCAAATAAACATTTTTGTAAAAGTATAAACAGCTTTAGTATACCTAAAACTGTAATTCTGCCCGTACTTACATTTTAAGTCCTGAATTTGCTATAAAGCCTTAACTTTCTCTTTACAATGGCTCACACTGATAGCATCAGCTGTTTTCTACTTATTAAGCATGCTGCAAAAGAAACAGCAGACAGTGAAGTGTCAAATTCCTGCTTATGTTGGAGAATGCAGTTTTTGCTTCCACAGTAATGAGCTTGTAATCATTTTCATCAACTGTTTGCAGTTCAAGATAATTGCCTTTATATCCGGTGTAATGACGTGCTAATGGCTTTTTCACACGGGTTTATGATGTTGCCAGCTATAGAGGACCAATCCTGCCATAATTAAAAATAAATACAGAAATAAATGAATGCTCCAAAAATAAAGGATACAATTAATTGCCTACCAAAAATACAATAAACAACTAAATATAGGTAGAAATTAAATTATAAAGTGAGACATAAATATATATCTTATATATCTTAATTAGCTTGTATGTTGATTTGCCTTTGTAATAATTACCTTATTTATTTATTGTCTGTTATATTCTTTAACTTTATTTATTTATTATTTATTTCTTTATGTTCATGATATGATATTTTTGTCTGTAAACTTCATCGTAGGTAGCCATCTTTGTTGTGCCTGTGGCCGGTGGCTGCTAACCAACCAATAGGCAGAAGTTAACCCTCTAAGACACACCCTTCATCATTTGTATAATGAGGCAGAAATGCATACTTAAATGTAAAACTAACAGGCAGAAATAAATAGTGTTGAAGAAATAAATAGGGTAAAAAAAAACAGAAAAAATTATTATAACATGCACATAAATAAATACTTAAAGAAATAAGTAATAAATAAATAAAGTTGAAAAATATAACGGACAATAAATAAATAATTGATATATATATATATATATATATATATATATATATATATATATATATATATATATATATATATATATATATGTCTGACTGTATAATTCGTTTATTGTATTTTTGGGGGGCATTCCATTGTACGCTTATTTCTTTTTGGAGCATGTATTTATTTCTGGATTTATTTTTAATTATGGCAGGATTGCTCCTCCATAGCCAACAACCTCATTGTTTGATAAAATATTGGACAAAATAAAATCCTAAAAGGTTTTTCTGTATTTATGAAATATATTCTGTTATAAATGAACTTGAAATTACAACTATTGTTATGTTTTAATCGTTTACCACAAGCAAGGCATTTTTTAAATTTGCATGGACATATCAATAAATTAAAAAAGCATTATGAGCCATCTTTTACTTAATCACAAAAATGCTGCTATTTAAATATTAAGCATACAAAGCACAGCATGTTAGAAATAAATCTTTACCTTATTTTCTGTTGCTCTGCAGGTCGCTTCTAATTTTGAACACGCTGTGCAGTCATGCTTGATTTCCTGGAAAACGGAAAGGATAATGCGCGGATGGAAAAGTTGTATCGAGCGATTGGGATCCGCGCAGAGAGGAGGATGCAAACAGAGGGTCCATGGACGGAGCGGAGCGGAGCGCAACTGCGCTTCTGCTCTTCTCCCCTTCACTAAGGTTACCTGCTGCACCAGAAACAGGGGGAGCTGCAGGGGAGAGAAAGTGATAAAAGTGAAGAGGAGCGGAGGGAAAACATGCCATGAGACTGTCCACTTAAAGATAAACTAAAGTGGCAATAGTTAAGGGTTTTTACACTTGAATATAAGGTTTGATAGGCAAAGCTATTTGAAAATAGAGAACAATGCCTTTCCCTTCAAACTTGATCAACAAAATTCAACATAAAAAAAGAATGCATCTCATAATGATTATGCAGATAAGGCCCATTATGCGCTCTCTATTATTATGAGATATAATTTGCTATAATAACAGCAAGGGGCTCATAATTATAAGTCATTACTAAGTTATAATTATGCAATAGGCTGTCATAATGGAATGAAATGATGAATGAAAAAAGTACAATTTGAGTAAAAAAAAATACATTTATGAAAATAGTGATTCATGAATAGATGAGCTGTGTTTCAGTTTGTTGCCTTGCAGCAAGAGGTTCATTGTTTTCTGCATGGAGTTAACATATTCTCTCTGTGTGTGATGTTGGTTTCCTCCCACGATCCAAACACATGACTATTAGATTAATTGGTGTCTAAATTCCCCTTCAGTATGAGTTTATGTGTGAATGCATGAGTGCATTCTGGTCCAAAAACTAAATTATAGTATGATTACCTATTGTCAGATGTACAAAAAAGAGAATTGTGATAAAACACCTGTTGAAAAATGTGTTTTTCTCAGCATAACTAATTCTGATGACATATTTTAAAGAAAGCTGTTAAAGTACAGAAAACAGTGTATTAAGACACGTAATGGAAAAACCATTAGTCCTCAAATTGAAATATTGCTAAACATCTTCATTGACTCAAGGAATGTGTAACTAAACACACTTTGGTTTTTGTAAATAGTCTTCCATACTTTATGAATTCAAGATATTTGAGTAAAATAGGCAAAGGCTTTTTTTAAGTGGGACTTTAAAGGTTTTTCCAAACAAGCTCTCTTCGAATCATGAAGGTCATGAGGTCCTTCGTAGGCACTTTGATCTTCAGTTCGTGCCATTTTTCTTTCCTTTTTGAAACATAAGAGTTTTTGTGATATGCTTCAAGACAAAAGGCTACACCTATTTTATCTTTAGATTCTGATTTGGAAAGAGGCTTTTAACATCTCCCTGTTGATCCTTCAAGCGTGCGAAGTATTATGGCAGTCCATACAGATATTTGTCAACATGCATATTTGCATTTTGTCTTGGTGGTTTTTGGTTGTATAAAACCATGATTTGTCTGCAGTAGAGCACATAGAAAGAGATGTGCTCTTTGAACCAGTCACACACAGTCCTGTGGTTTATTTGGCCCACAATAGTTCCAAACATCTCACAGCTGTCCATCAGTTTGAATGGATTCTGGTGGAGCTATTCAATACCCTGTTTAATAACCTGTTTCTATTGAATACCCAGTGCAATAACTATATTCATAAATATCTCTTATATAAATACCTATTTAATACCCTGTGTAATAACTAAATATATATAAATAAGTTCTTAAAGATAGATAACAAGCTTCTATGAAACAGTGTCACTGCTTTTAAAATTGTTTTTAAACTTTTATATTTGAGCATATGTATTAATTGGTTTTATTTTTGTAAACAGGTTGTAGTGTATTGCAGATCTCTGCCCAGGTCCTCCTTGAAAATGAGATCCAGATCTCAACGGGGTTCACCTGGTTAAATAAAGGAAATAAAAAAAATAATAAAAAAATGCCTATTTATTAAAAATACCCATGTAGTACCCTGTGCAATAACCTTGTACATTAATCCTGGTAAATAAGAGACTTCAGCTGTTATATACAAATATGTGGACGCACTGTATATACTGTATGTACCCCATGCACGTTTTCCTCCTTTTTGCACCTTCTTTTTGGCTATTGATCCAATGTGACAAGTGTATTTCTCCACTGTGAGATTAATAAAGTTTATCAATCAATCAAGCAAAACAAGAAGAACCATATTTCCTCATTTACCCGACAATTTCTGGTAGTTATTGACCCTTTAATGTGCACTGATCAGTTCCTAGATTGCATGGACATTTATAATCCCTACATTTTAGACAGGAACAGCATTGCTAACATATTATAGAATACGTTGCATGTCTGCAGTTTTTTATTATAATGTTATGTGCTTAAAGAAAACCAATTTGAGTAATATTACACAGTTATTTTTACATGTCTTATTAATGCTAGCATGGGAATGCTATTGCTTAAATATAGCTGTGGTTAAGAGCTCTGCTTTGGCTTAGCTTCAGATCTGCATGCTTTAAATCTGAACTCAGTATGTTTCTCTCTAACCGAGATGACCTTGGATCTTGTCTAATAACTACTGCAAAATAGGAGTTCATGGATTCAAATCTTTGTTTTTAACTCTTATTGGTACTAGTTGCATTTATTTGAAAGAGACAGCAAATTGGGCTGAAAGGGAGGGGAAAACTTTAGTAAAAATTTAGCAGAATGGGAATCAAACCTGTGACAGCCAAGTCAAGGACACCACAAATGCTTGTTTAAATAACGCTCTTTGGTTAAAAATGCATTAGCTTATTAAAAAAAAAAAAAAGTTTCAATTGTACAAAAACAATTGACCAAAGATTTTATTAAACATGTAAAACATATAATAAGCTTTATAATAATCCTACTTTTATTTATTGTATAACTTTCATATTGTATACTCTTGTATACACCTCTATCAATAAACTCCATCCATCCATTTTCTCCCAATTATTCCATCAGGGTCGCAGTGGGAACGATGCCAATCTCCTGCAGTCTATGGGCGAGAGGCGGGGGACACCCTGGACAGATCACCAGTCTGTCGCAGGGCAACACAGAGACACCATCCATCCATCCATCCACCCTTACAGTATCTGTCAGGCAGGGTACACCCTGGACAGATCACCAGTCTGTCGCAGGGCAACACAGAGACATACAAAGACTTACAACCATGCACACACACACACACCCCTAACAGCCATGTTTTTTGAACTGTGGGAGAAAACCCACATATGGATAGGGAGAATATGTAAACTTCATGCAGAAAGACCCCAGGCTGGCAATCGAACCCAGAAGCTTCTTGCTGAAAGGCAACAGCGCTACAAACTGTTCCACCCTGCAGCCCATCTTCACCAATAAACTGTGTCTACAAATTTGAACAATGTGAAAATGTGCAAAAGTCCTAATGAAGTCTCAGCAGCGGTTCCCTCTGATTATCAGAAAGACCACCACATCTGTTGACCTTCCCTAAAAACAACAATAGAGTAACAGTTCAGATACAATCATATAATACGATCATCACAGTTGTAAAGTCAAACTGGGAAAACAGCATGCTCTTAAAAAGTAATTAAAAGAACAATATAAACACAAATTAAGATGTTGGTGGAGGATGAAAAGAAAGTGTACAGTAAATGTATATACAGGTTTTATATACATATAAGTATTTAAATAAAGCTGCTATGTGTATTGCCTTACATTGACTTTGTTATGTTTGGAAGCAGCAATCAGTCAGAATTTATACTGTAGCTTCTTTCGAAACTAAACAAAGAGCAAAATGGTTGGGTTTAGTCAGCAGGCTAAGCCAGTGTTTTTAAACCCTGGTCCTCAAGGCACACTGCCCTGCATGTTTTGGATGTTTCCCAGCTTTCACACACCTGTCATCAATTGATAGCAGATTATCAGGCTTTGCTGAACTGCAATCATCTGAATCAAGTGTACTGAAGCTCAGAAACATCCAAAACATGCAGGGCAGTGTGCCTTAAGGACCAGGGTTGAAAAACACTGGGCTAAGCCACCTTGTGCATCGCTCACTGGCATAACTTTCTGAAGGGCTGATGTGGACATGTCCCCATCAACTTTGGCATGGAGGGGACAGTCCCCACAAATAATTTCCGCTTTTTTCCCCTTTCCGCTGATTTACTTTAGCCAACAGTACAGTAACTGGGGTTGGGTGCAGCTGTCTGTGTTCAGAGCGTTTTCAGTTCGTGTTTATTTCTTGCTCTCCCTATAAATATCATTGCATCTGTCTCTTTCGGACATAATATTATTTGTGGTCGCTATTGACTGCGTACAGAGTAGCTACGAGGAGAGACACAGCAGCACTCAGTGAATTTTAACCGGCAGCTACTTCGATGTATGTTTCAGTAAACTTTAGGAGACGGGTTGGTTAAAAAAATTAGAGATGCCACAAAAAATCTGTTCGTTACATATGGAGCTTTTTCAGCTAAAAATGGCAATAGAGCTTAAAAAAACTGGGCTTCTCAGAGGACCATTATTTAGAGTTATAGATTAAAATGAACACATATCTATTGTTTTCTTATTGAACAGAATCAGACTGCAGAGCTTCTAAATATCTTGAAAATATTTTTTTCTGGCATCATTATATTAAACAGGTTTATAAATCTGTTTTTAAGCAGAGCAGAGACACAATTAGGGACAGCTGCAGATTTCAAGGTGAAACAGATTTACTGAGATATGCAACATGCAATAAAATATATCTCCAAGTTTACAAGAAAAAATATGCAATGCTATAATAAAATTCAACATATCTTTTTGTCTTTTGTATTTCAACAAGACTCAGAAATAGCTGTGCCAGCCAACCCAGAGACAGCCAGACTCACAGGACACAGACTAAAATATAAGAAACCTACAAGAATTAAAGCACAAATAATCAAAATCTCTGTATAAATGATTTTTTAAATATAAGGTTCAATAAATAGACTTTGGCTGTCAACGACATATGGGACAAATTTCTAAATTTGATTTTGCTGCTTGTGAAAAAAGATCATCACTGATGCAGCTCAAAGGGAAGCCAGACATGGATGGAATTGAACTTGTGTCCATACTAGGGATGCATGATATATTGCTGTTGGCATCGGTATCGGCTGCTATTAGTCATTT